TCAGGGGGGAAAAGAGGCACGCAGGACTGCTGTTAATGAGCTCGGCCTTTGACTCACATTCCTTCGGCAGGGCACATGCAGACAGCCTACATTTGCAGGAGTTTACGTGCGCAGGGCTCTGGGTGGGTGGGTGGCTCTGAAAAAGCAGGGCTCCACGCAGAGAGAGCTCTACATGGGCTCCTACTAATACAAAAGGGCTGGGGATAAGAAGCTGTGGCTTCCCACATGTCCTGAGTGCACACTCATTCCACCCTGAAAAGGGACTATTCTCGAAACTGTACACAATCCATCCAACCTGCACTCATCAGGACGTGCCATCGGGAACCTGGATTCCTTTCGCGGTACCAGTCAGTGGGTAGCAAATGGGAACAAACGTGCGCTTCAGACTTCCACATACAATACAAGTGTGGGCCTGTGTGCTCAATATGATGTGTGAAAGGCCTTAAGTGTCAATATCGTAAGAATGTAAGAAGAGCCCTGCTGGATCAGACCAGCGGCCATTGTAGTCTGGCATCTTTGTCTCACACAGTGGCCAACCAGTTTCTCTGGAGGCCACGGAGGCCAAGGCCTTCCCTTGATAAGAACATAAGAAGGGCCCTGCTGGATCAGGTCACTGGTCCATCTAGGCCAATGCTCCCTCTAAGCTGTGGAGTCTTGTGAGCAAAAATTCTACTTTGTGAGCTACTGGCATTAAAGTTGTGAGCAAGCGATTTGGCTCCTGCATAAATCAGTTTGCTCTGGAGCCCTCCTTCCTGAGCCAAGACAAAAATGTGTCAGCTGGAGGCTAAAAAACTGTAAGCTAGCTCACACTAACTCAGCTTAGAGGGAACACTGATCTAGGCCACCATCCTGTCTCACACAGCAGCCAGCCAGGTCCTCTGGAGGGCCAGCAACAGGGCATAGAGGCCAAGGCCTTTATTAGAACATCAGAAGAGCCCTGCTGGATCAGGCCAGTGGTCCATCTAGTCCAGCATCCTGTCTCATGGAGTAGCCAAGTAGTTCCTCTGGAGGGCCAGCAACAGGCCATAGAGGCCGAGGCTTTCCTCTGATGTTGCCTCCTGGCACTGGGATTCAGAGGCTGACTGCCTCTGAACGTGGAGGTTCCCCTTTAGTAACCACGGCTAGTAGCCACTGACAGGCCTCTCCTCCATGAATCCGTCAAATCCCCTTTTAAAGCTCTCGATGCCTCTTCCTGTCTCTTCTCAAGCAACCAAGCCAAACCCCCACGCCAAGCTGCAACGGGAACATGCAGGCCACCGAATCCGAGGACACGAACGAAGGCTCACCACAGCCTCCCGGTTGGCCACACCAAAGCTGGCTTTCTGGCGCTTGCTGGTAATGTAGGCAGAGTTCTCCTGCAGCTTCTCCAAGAGCTGACGGACGGTCTTGCAGTAGTTGGCGACCTTGCACTCTTTCAGGAAAGCCTTGAGCTGGAAGGGGGTGGGCAGAGGAAAGGAAACGAGGTGAGAGGGAACATTCCATCCCAGAAAAGAGTCAGGAAGAGAGGGGGGGGGCCACGGGGGGAAGTTTGCTTTGGCAGACGACCGTGCCTCCCGCTTGCCACCGGTCAGGGATCGCACCTTCACCCCGACTGCGGTGGACCCCTTTGGGCAGGAAACAAGACTTCGATTTGTAAACGCCAAGCGACCACAAAGGTCGTCTTGCCAAGAGTGGCAGTGAAAACAGCCATCCCGGGATAGAGATGCTCCAACAAAAACAGGGCGGCCGTCTGAAACGGCATCTCCCGGTGGAAACCTTCCATTTGACCTTGTGTCCCAAGAGCGGCCTTTTCTTTAAGAGTGACTGGTGTGCATTAGCTAATGTCCCTTTTAATGTGCGGGCTTGCCCTCGTGCAACAGCTCTGGGGTCCCACTGAGGGCAAGAGGCACTAATATCTTTAAACTGGGGGCACGGTATGTCAGAAAACTCTCTGATGCAAGTCCCATTCTGTGGCACAGCCCTTGTTCACTTCCTGTGGGGTTTCTGCGGGAAAGCTTCCCTCTGTGGACTAGAAGAGACAGTAAAAGATGCTACAATTTGGGAGACGGAAACAGCGCCCAATGATCATCAGCCATGCTCCCTCTAAGCTGTGGAGTCTTGTGAGCTACTGGCATGAAAGTTGTGAGCGAGCGATTTGGCTGCTGCATAAATTAGTTTGCTCTGGAGCCCTCCTCCCTGAGCTAAAGCAAAAATGTGTGAGCCGGAGACTAAAAACCTGTGAGCTAGCTCACACGAACTCAGCTTAGAGGGAGCACTCCGTGCTTGTGACTTTTCCAAGGCGGCAAGAGCCATGGTGCGTCTGCGTGCACACGAAGAAAGGCACATATCTGCAAACGCAAAACAGGCAGGCGAGTGACATCCCAGCTGCTTCCGACGACACGATCCGGTGACTGGGGAAATGGTTTCCGGCAAGCGGCTGACCTAAACCCCCCTCTTCCCGCAAGTGGGGTTTATATCACCAACGATTTAAACCCCTCACTTGGCTCTGGCGTGTAAAGAGCTATAAACAGTGATAAGAAACAGCTGGGAGCTCCCACATCCCAGACGCCTGGGAATTGGATGCCCAACATAACAGAAAGGCAGAAAGCATAAGAGAAGAGGGAGGAAAGCATGGAAGACATGGATCCTGGTAAAAGGGAGTTCGCTTTCCCAGCCTTTCTGTCCCCAAATTCTCATTTTGAATCCTTTCCGCACACTGTTGTTCCTCTCCCCCGTCCACCCCTCCGGCAAAGGGGTGGGAAACCAACTGGCCTCCCACGTTTATTACAACCATCCCTGGCTGCTTCAGGGATTCCGCCTGTTTGGCCTCCCACCAGAGAGACGGGCGGACTCTCCTGTCTACGGAACCTTCTGGGGGCAAACGCGGACGGCCCCCCGTCCTTCGGCAAAGAAGAGTCTGGGCTCCGGCAGCCGTGGAAAAGCGTCAAGCCGTTTCCATCCCACGCGGCCCCCGCCCGTCCCGTCTCAGTTTATTTTGATCTGCCCCTGCCGCTTCCTGTCTTCCAAGCAAAGGGAGGTTGCAAAGTTTGCTCTGGAGGCTGTCCACAGCCAAGAGGTCCAGGAACGAGCCAGATCCGGGCGGGAGCCAACCCCCACACCCGCCAGGGCGGGAGGGATTCCAGGAAGGGCGAAGCTGAGCTGGGAAGCGAAACACTGGCTCGGGGAGCCGTCTTTCGAGCAGGGATAAAAAGGCATTTCCCCCAAAGGCACTGCGGTCAGACGAGATTGCCACCCAAGGAGCTGAGCGGAATGGAAAGCAGTTGCTACTTTCATTTGTCGCTCTCAACTCAAGAGTTCAAAGACAGAGAGAGAGAGAGAGAGAGAGAGAGAGAGAGAGAGAGAGAGAGAGAGAGAGAGAGAGGGAGGGAGGGAGAGGGAGGGAGGATGTTCCCTCTAAGCTGAGTTAGTGGGAGCTAGCTTACAGTTTTTTAGCCTCCAGCTCACAGATTTGTGTCTTGGCTCAGGAAGGAGGGCTCCAGAGCAATGTTCCCTCTATGCTGTGGAGTCTTGTGAGCAAAAATTCTACTTTGTGAGCTACTGGCATTAAAGTTGTGAGCGAGCAATCTGGCTACTACATAAATTAGTGTGCGCTTGAGCCATCCTTCCTGAGCTAAGGCAAAAGTGTGTGAGCTGGAGGCTAAAAAACTGTGAGCTAGCTCACACTAACTCAGCTTAGAGGGAACACTGCTCCAGAGCAAACTGATTCATGCAGCAGCCAAAATCGCCCGCTCACAACTTTAATGCCAGTCGCTCACAAAGTAGGATTTCTGCTCACAGGACTCTCCACAGCTTAGAGGGAGCCCTGGAGATGACCCCCAGATGCAAGATCCTTTTAATTGGAGATACGAGGACCTGCAATTGGGGACCTGCAGTCAAACGCCTGCTTCATATGAAGAAGGGCCCAGGGTCAAATGGCTCGTATCTCTGGATAAAAGACACTGGTGGGCAATGTTCCCCTCTAAGCTGTGGAGTCTTTTTGTGCTCACAGGACTCTCCACAGCTTAGAGGGAGCACCGGAGATGACCCCCAGGTGCAAGATCCTTTTAACTGGAGATACGAGGACATGCAATTTGGGACCTGCAGTCAAACGCCTGCTTCGTATGAAGAAGGGCCCAGGGTCAAATGGCTCGTATCTCTGGATAAGAGACACTGGTGGGGCAGGTGCAAGGAAAGACCAGGCCCTCTGAAGCCAGGTAGGTCAGACTATCCTAAGCTAGGACAGGTTAACACTCTGACTTGGCATACAGCATTTTAAATAGCCACATGAACTTTCGCTTCCCCACCTGGTCTTCAGAAGCAGTTTGCTCAATGGCACAGGGAGTTCCTTTTGGGGAAAACCAGAGAGCACAAAGCTGCCTCAGGCCCTGGGTCCATCAAGGTCAGTACTGTCTACTCAGAGACCAGCAAGGGCTCTCCAAAGTCTCAGGCGGAGGTCCTTCACATCACCTACTACCAGTGTTCCCTCTAAGCTGAGTTATAGTGTGAGCCAGTTTGGTGTAGTGGTTAGGAGTGCGGACTCTAATCTGGGAGAGCCGGGTTTGATTCCCCACTCCTCCACATGCAGCTACTGGTGTGACCTTGGGTCAGTCACAAGCTCTGGCACAGCTGTTCCTGAAAGAGCAGTTTGTGTCAGAGCTCTCTCAGCCCCACCCACCTCACAGGGTGTCTGCTGTGGGGAGGGGAAGGGAAAGGAGTTTGTAAGCTGCTCTGAGACTCCAAGTGAAGGGCGGGGTTTGTCTCAGCTCAGGAAGGATGGGGCTCAGAGCAAACTAATGTATGCAGCAGCCAAATCTCTCGCTCACAACTTTAATGCCAGTAGCTCACAAAGTAGAATTTTACTCACAAGACTCCACAGCTTAGAGGGAGCACTGCCTACTGCCTGATCCATTTCAACTGGAGATGCTGGAGATTGAACCTGGGACCTTCTGCATGCCAAGCAGATGCTCTACCACTGAAGCCATGGCACAACAACTGCTTCCCTTTAGTGTGGGGAGCTAGTCTTTGGAACTTCTTAAAACACTTTCCCCCTTCTTTCTTTCTTTCTCTATTTCTGCTTTCCCCTTTGGGAAAGGGATGAGGGGAACAGGAAGGCATCCATGTGAACTGCAGCCACCCCTGGGAACTTCACGGATCCAGACCCAGAGTTTTCAGGCAGTCTTGCGTCCCGGCACGTTTCTATTTTAGACACTGAGCCCTGCCTGAATCACAATGTGAAACGGCAGGCAAGAGCTTTTAGGAAATCACACTGTTTCCCCCTCTTTTTAGGAATTCACTGTCTGATTGGGCAAAAGACAGGAAAGGCCATAAGGCATATCCAGAGAACCCGGCTCGTTTACAAGACGCCTGGAGAGTTCTCACGTACCTGGAGAATGGCCGGGAGAGCTAGCTCGGGAAAACCAATCACGTAAGCTTGGGTGTGGAGATACTCCAGGGTGAGGTCATACAGCTGCTCAATAAGGCCATCCTGTTGGGAAATGTACAAAGGAGTGAAATTAATGCCCTCGTTTACAACCTCCTGACTCATGTGACGGGGGGGGGAGTTACTTCAACGTGTGTGCATGTGTGAACCCCCACGTTCAACAGCAGTCGCTAAAAAAGAAAAACCAGCCAACTGATGCAAAAATTGCTTCCACTCGAAACAGTTTACAACACCACCTCTCCGCGTCTCCAGTCATTTTTAATTTTACGTTTTGATCTAAATTACTATGTATTATAAGCGTTAAGGGGGCGGCATTCATTTCCCCAACCACTGGTACTTTTACTTCTCCTTCCAGGAGGGGGGGGGGGG